AAAACCTCCCCCCCCCGGGGGGCGCCCCCCCTCCTCCCCCCCCCCTTTTTTCCCCCCCCCCCCCCCCCCGGCCCCTAGTCAAAACTCGCCAGCCCTCCCTCTCTTGTCTCTCCCCTCTTCATTCCTCTCGATGAGTCATCTCCCTGGCTTCCACTCCACCAACACGAACTACAGTGGCTGTCATTGTCTTCTGGACCCTCTGCCTTCCAGTCTATAGACCGCAAACCACAGCAGATGGCCCGGTGCCGCCATTGCTCCCAACGACCACCTAATACGAGCACAAAGCAAGAAAAAGCCCAGCCTCCGACATCCCCGCTACCGTTCCATGCTATGTGATGACAAGGCGTAATTAGTTGTCCCTTAAAGGCAGGGCACACGTAAAACATTCAGGCGTTGGGGTGGGGGTTTCTGTACATTTTCCTTCCTTCCACTTTGCCTTTCATTTCTCCCCCTCTGCCGCTTGTTATTTTTAAGAAACTCGGAGAGTAGATGATTAACCCACTGCTGCATTGCCTCCCTTCCCCTCCTTCCTCTGCATTTCTCCTTCTCTTCCCTCTCCATGATGTTGTGTGTCCTTTACCCAAATTGCTTTGCCTCACTCGCTGCTTCTACAGGCTATAAGCATGCATCCCCACTCGCCTCCTTCCCTTTCTCCATCTATAATGCTGCCTATGAATGTCCTTCTGCTGGCACTGATTTCCCTCCAAACTCTCCATTCCTACAGTACCGTTTTTCTTTCTATATACATATATAATGGTGTATATGCCCTTTTACCCATAATGCTTTCTATTTCTGTGGTCCTCCTCCTTGCTGGTTGGAAGGGGGTTAGAGGCGGACTGTCACAACTCATTTATCACATTAAATATCACCCCTCTAGCACTTTCTCCCTCCCTCATTCACCCATCTCTCTTCTCACTTTTTCCCGTCTCTCCCTTTTTTTTCTCCACTTCTTACCATTTATATTTCTCACTTGTCCTCTTTACTTTTTTGTCACTTCTGGTTCCCTCTCACTCTACGTCTCTCATGCCCTCACAAGTCTCTCTCAGAGCCCTAAAGCACTTCGCTGAAGGTTCCCATTGCGGTCTTTTTTTAACAACTGCCATATGCCCGTGTACTGTATACCTCCCCATGTCCCTATCTTTTACATTTACTCACTTTTTTTTTTTCCCCTTCAACTCCCCTAAGCCCCTCCACATCATGTCATATTTAACACAATTTGTAGAGGTAGACTAAGCCTGATGAAACAAAAGAAAGCAGTCATGCAAAAAGATTTCAGGAGCAATCCTTACAATGCCTTCTGACAGTGCAGCACATTAATATTCTGAAGATAAAGGGGAAGTGCGAGGATATGCGGTGAAAAAGGAATCAGATGCAGATGGAGCCTGGCAGCGTGCATACCTAGAATAACTCAGTACTCACCCCCAGCCCCTCTCCCAAAAGAAAAAAACAAACAAACAAAAAAAAAAAAC